GAATTAATATTAACATCTGCATACATTTTATATCATTAATAAATCATGCAAAATAATTACATGACTATAATGAGATGTTTACATACTCCAATTACTCTAGGTCTTTCTCTTCTTTTAGACATACTTTGAAAATAATGTCCAAGAAATATCATACTATACCATTAAATCTAAATGAATGGTTTATAGCTACTTAAGCAGAGGAAAAATTCTAAAACAGAAAGTTCTATAACATAAGGAAACTGATCTACCCAAGTTGCTATTGATATTGTCTTTATTTAATATATATGAAACTATATGAGATCTCATAAATATAATCCAGCGATAAAATACATGTCTATATGTTAAAGCAGCATTTGGTGTTTATTGGAAAAGTCACATTTAAAATCAAAATTGTCCCTGTTGTACTTGCAAATAAGATGAAAATGTCTTTTCAAACTTTTTATAATGGAGAGAGAGAGAGGGCATGAGAGAGAGAGCAAGCAAGAACAGGGAAAAGGAGAAAAAAGTGAATCACTTCTCTTTGTGTGAAGGAAAAAAATATCACTACTTGTTTGTGTTTGGCATCCAATTCCTAGCCCAGCAATCTGAATCTATGAACTTAAGCCTTCACGGAGGAGTGTATCAATTGGCTTTTCAATTAGAAGATAGCATTACTCGATTAACTTTGAGACTAACCCTTTCAAGAAATATATTTAGCAATGGCCCACGATATTCAAATTCTGAAATGAGAATGTCAAATGTGAAACTAAATTTAAAATGTCAGTTTTTTTTCTCTCAGCCCCTCCCATACACTACAAATTTAAATAATATGAACCCAGGAAGCATTTAAATAAACATGGTGTGCATTCTAGGTTTTATGTCAGGTCTTATTACTTTAATTACTTGGAGCCTGTCAGAGTATAGGCTGACACACATAAGTAAGGAAATCTATGTCCTACGTGCCATGCTATTAGGGCTTGTCCCTGCTGGAACAAGAAAGATGGAATGGGCTCAGAGATTGTGGCTTGATGCTTTGCAGGATCCCCACAGTGCTCACCAGGCTGAGCCATAAAGCTCCCTAAGCCAGCAAGCAAGCTCACTAGAAGACAGAACTACAAGGTAAAATTAGAAGGAAAAAGAATCTTCCCAATACAAAAGATCATGTAAATACTGCCACATGAATGTGTGCACACATACACATACCACTCACATATTTTAACAGTGTTTCTTAGTAATTAATACATTTCTAAATTTTGCCTGCAATGACACGTCTATGGTCAACCCATCAACCAAAAAGTTCTGGTTAATGTTAAATTCTGTTTTAAACATAGAAGGCCTATCTATTAACTGGGCTTAAGAAACTGTCTACCAAACACCAGAAGCACTTTCAAAGTAAAGGTGTTAACTTATTGATGACACTAACATATTTCTGGCTGTTTTTCCAAGATCTCCAAGATATAAGCCATGAGAAGTGTCGTTATAATCATCAGTGGTCAAGCTGTAACTGACATTAACCAGACTTTTGATTTAAAAGAAAAAGAAAAACAAAGTGTGTGTGTGTGTGTGTGTGTGTGTGTGTGTGTGTGTGTGTGTGTGTCTGTGCATGCATTAGGTAGCAATAGAGAATTTTTGTCTCATAAGCTTCCTGGCTTTTACTGACCAAAATACGCACGAGAATGTAAATACATCTTTGACTGTATGTTTCACTAAATAACTTATAAATTAAAATAAGCGTTACTCAAAAAATTACAATATAATCTAATTCTTGAGCATTTATAATGTACCAGGTGCTGTTCTAATAAAATTGTATGTAATAACTCATTCAATCCTAATAACAACTCTTAGAGATAGGCATTATTATATCCTTTCTATAGTTGAGGAAATTGAGAAGTAACTTGCCAAAGTTGCCAAGTTCACATAGCTAATAAAGAATAGATTTGGGAGTCAAATCTAATAGCTCGTGCTTTCAACTCCAGGCTATACTACTCTCTGTTAGCAAATGGAAAATATTTTGAGGTCTTATTTACCTCAAACTCCAATTTGGTAGTGAGTGTGGGAAAGTGGATGGGACAGTTAAGACTCGAGGCTTCTGAAGCAGTTCAGAAACACCCAAGTCAAATCGGAGACCCTGAGCCTCTGTCACTCCAAGATATCAAGCTGACTCCCCCAAGAATACTTCTCATGCTGGGCGTTTGGGGAGAAACAATTTGTTTGAACCCATTAGAAGTTCACATCCATTTTGGGGAAGCATATGAGTAAGCAAGGAGCTGCAGTTACATTCCAGCAGGTATAATTTCTTGCAGACTTAAAAGAACAAAAGTTACTAATATGACTGACATGGTCTCTACAGTAAAAAGGAGAATCTGCGGTACAAGGACTAGGCAGAGACATCATATATCCATATTAACAAAATCAGATCTAGATGAATTCTGTATTGCTATAGTCTGGTTTCAAAGTTAATAGATATGAAGCATTCTTCAGTGGTTACTTTCACTGAACTACTGTTAAAGGTCTCAGAATTGTCTCCCATGGGTAAGTCAAACTGGTAGTATTTTTAAAAGTGAGGTGTGGTTACAAGGTCTCAGGAAAACAGCCTAATGTTGAAATAGGAAAACATCTGCGTACAAATGACAGACAAAAGGTAATTGTTTGAAGGCATGTGTCTATCGTTGTCATTTTCACCTAAATGAAAACAACTACAAATGATAGAATGTATACAAGGTAGACACAGCAGTCCAAAGAAGATTGATTAATCAAGATGCAGAATTTTAGCATTAGCAAGGACCTTGGAGAACAAGTTCAACTTCAGCATTTTACGTAAAATAAAACCAAGGTCAGCAGAATTTGTACTCTGTGTGCAGGTGTTCTCTTCAGCCCTGGGGAGAGTGTATGAAGTGAGAAGACAAGAAAATGGTATGCAGAGCCTGGGAGCCCCGGTTCTTGAGAGGTGGGTCGATGAAGGGCAGCCTGTGAAGGCAGCTGGGTAGGGGCAATGGAGAGGGAGCAGGAAGCCAAGAAGCATGATATCCTCCAAGCCTGGGAAGGATAGAGTTTTAGAGTAAGTGGTCGCGTTGAATGGTAACAGGTCTAAGAAGACCAGAGCTGGGAAATGTTCATTATGTTTGCTGGTTATCGATCGGCGGTGGTGACCTTACCAAAAGCAGTTTCTGTAGCATGATTGCAGTGGAAGATTGCCGTGTTTTAAGCAATAAATGGGAGGTTTAAAAAAAACGTTGAGACAGTAAAGGCAGAGCCTATATTCAATAAGTGCTTGGAGAAAAGAAAAAGATGGACCAGTTTTAGGGAAAATTGGTCAGTAGAGAATGAGAATAACTGAAACAAGAATTGAAACAATTTGAGGAAAGACAAAGGAAACTGGGGTGTAAGCTCAGGCTGATGGATCAACCTTGATAGAAGGTACACAGCTTGCACTGAGATAGTATAGATGGGAAAGGGGTGAATATATATATATATATATATATACAGCTAAGTGGTTCTCCCAACTGAAATTTTATTTTTTGCTTATCAAACCATGTGTAGTTTGTGTTGGTAACTGATAGAAGGTTAAAAATCTCCTTCCTTCATTGCCTATGGTAAGTTTTGAATAAATGAATAATAACCAGTCAGCCCCAGGCCTAGACCCTTCAGTCATGAAGGACTTACATGAGCCATTGTTGGCAGCACAAGCCTTCCTACACACTCCCTTGCTTTCTTCTTGCATTCACTGGGACAGTTTCCTCATTCTCCAGATCATTCCACCAACTACAGAAATTAGGTTCTCACCATTGGGAAACGCCGAGATTAATGGGGAGGAGTTTAACTATCTTCAATCTCGTGAAGGCTGGCAGCTTCTCGGCCTTGCCAACTATCTATTTTCTTTGCTGGTTTCTGCCAGAGGCAAGAGCAAGCAGCAAGTGGAAGAACAGGGTAATGGCAAAAAAAGAGCACTCTTAAGAAAATTAAAAGAAAAAAAGAGAAAGACTTAAAATAGGAAAGATTTACTGCTGAAATTAAACCAGAGAGCAGGTTAGGAAAGGAGAGGTTGCTCACAGAATTAAAAGCTGCTCATGTGAGTTGGTTTAAGTTAAGTGGAACACCTATTGTGTTGGATGATCCCAAAGGGTTTCTCTCTACACGCACACACACTCCTAATAGATAGCTATCTGAGTTCTTTCCTAAGAACCAAAAGCTCCATGTGCAAAGTCAATTATGAGTCTTTCCTTCATTAAGAGATCAAGGCATGTTGCCCTGACATTTTAGCAACATCTGTTTTAGCATTCTTTAATTATAAAATCTGAGATATATTTTTCAAATTGGATTAGAAGCATCGTCACTTCTACCATTCCACCCTGAATTTTAAAGGTCTGCAAGCTTTTACTCAAGTGGGAAATAAAAAAAGCCTTTATTGCTTTGTGAGAATTACTAACATCAGCCAGGATTAGATCATGAAATTCACCCCGGAGATCCTGGCAATAGTTGTCTTGCTTGGTCTCTGCAAGTTTTCACCAGTCCTTCCCAATTTTAGAATCGTTGGACAATAACACAATTCTGTTTCTTGTAAAGATATGTTCATTCAATAAGCATTTATTAAGCACCTAACACATGCTTGACATTGGGCTAGTTGCTGAGAATATCAAGATAAACGACATATAAAATTGGCCCCTCAAGATCTCATGCATAGAAAAAAAGCAAATACATTTTTAATTTTCATAATCTGATTTCTTTGGAGGTTTGTTTAATATTCTTCCTCAGAATACAAAGACTTATGACATATTCATTGCTTTGTGTATTATCAACAGAGCCACTTTATCATAAGTAAGCAAAAGTACATAAAACTTGGTTATGCAAAATTAAAGTTCTAGATAAAGAGAAAGAGACTTCATTTAAAAGAGCTACACAGGAGAATATGAGAAATGCCAACCACTCTCCTGACCAATCCCAGGAGGCAGTAACAAAGACGCACACACACACACACACACACACACACACACACACACTCAAACAACCACAACAAAATTTACCTGACTTGCCCACGCCTGCTCTTCCAAATATTGCCAATTTGACCTCTGCACTTTTAGCCATGCTGGGTGTGAGTAGACAATTCACTGTCGTTCAAACTAAAGAGCCGAGAAAATCGTTTTGGTTCCAGCCTTTGGGTTCACCATATCATGGTAAATCTGCCGTCCTTAAATAAAAGACATTTGGGAATTCATAAGTGATTAGAGAAAAGAATTAATATTTATTAAGCATCTTCTATATGCCAGCCATCATTCAACTTTATCAACATTTTCCATTTTGATCTTCACCACAATCTTGAGAGAGGGTGATAGTAATTTACTGAAAACTATTCAGCTAATTAAATGACAGATCAAGGACTTGAACTTAGATCTATTTTGGTTCCAAAACATCTGCATTTTCATACATAATAGTATTTTCTAAAGTATCTCTTTAAATAATTTTTTTATGAAGGCATTGTTTTTTTGTCAGTAATTGATAACAAATATTTGAAGTATGTGACTACATGAATTAACTATGTAAACATCCAATATACAAACACATGATGGAGAGAGTCACATTTTAAATTCTTTATTTTCCTTCAGACTGAATAATATACATTTATACTAGTCAACTCCAGACTGAATAATATACATTTATACTAGTCAACTCCAACGTAATGCAACTGAGTTTGCATTTCAAGATTTAAATTTTATCTCAGTTCACACTATATATGTCAAATCATGTGACAGATACGTATATTTCAGGAATTGATGTATAATATCTATATCATATTTTTATATTTTGGGGAGCACGATGCTCTGGTACAGAAAAGATAAATGCCATGCCTTGACTTCTGATTCCTTTGCTATGACAAGCTCGAGTAAGTTAGTTTATGGTATTGTCTTAACATTTGTGAAATTACATTATATACAATGTAAGCACATTTTATATAGGTTGGTGCTTAAGGAATGAAAGGTTCTTAGTACCACGGAAATGTAGAGTTGGAAAGAGCCTTGGGGTCAACCAATGAATCCTCCAGCCATTGCAGGAATCTCTCCTTATGATCAGAAAATCATCCAAATACCATTCTGTGTCTAATTCACCACTTCTGGCGATGGGTTCCGGGGATGGGGCAGGGGGGTAGAGCATTAAGTCAGTTTTTCTTTTCTTTCACTCAGAACCCTTCAAGTAGCCTAGCAGCTATGGGCCCTTTTGCCCCACTCTGGGCTCTACTTTCTAGGTAAATGAGAGCCAATATCTTCCCTTGTTCATCATGGGACATATGGTCTCGTTTATATTTTTTTGACCTTCATCTTCTCTCTTCTCCATATGCAGCTCTCTCCTCTAGCACTTGCCATTTTAATCACTCTAAAAATGTGGCATCCACTGCGTTCACCACTTGAGGTGTGACCTGGCAAATTGACTCAGCAAAAGTTCACGGAGATTTTCTCTATTCTTTATCTGGGCACTGCGGTTGTATTACAGCAGAGCCACTCATGAAGGCTCACATCTTCCACGAGAACCACAGACCCCCCCCCCATTCTGAACTTCCGCGATCAATGTTTTAAACCTAAATCCAGACTTCATTTTTATCCTTTTAAAACTTAATCACATCAGTCTTCATTTCATCCATTTTTCCAGTCTGTAAAGATAATTTTGAGACACTTATCTTAACATGTAAACTCTCCTGCTAGTGTTTTGTCACCTACAGTATTTCAAAAACAGCATCTTGAGTGAAGAAGTAAAAATCCTTCTGAAAAAGTATTTTAAAGATATTAACGCATAATTGTTTTCTTCATAATGTGTCTAAGCCATCTGCCTATACCTCACAAATTTTGTATTTCCTGATTTCCAAAGTGCTAGAACACCCTCTGAAAGATGAAAAGGCCAACATTAACTTAGCTATTGTTTACTTCATTCTCAATAATGAAAAATCTTCTTAGTGGTCATTGACAGTACAAAAACCAGAAGCTTGAACATCTGTAATTTGTCCAGTCTCATATTTTGGCTAAAGATAAAAGAATTTTTTTATTTGTCATTTCATATGCATTCATTAAGGCCTCTATGTTTAGTGCCTCATCACAGAATTTTCACAGAAGCACAACATATAAAGATATATTCATTATACAAATTCTAAATAAGAATGGCAAGCATTTCTTTGAAACATAGACCATGAAAGGGTCTGGAGCTTGTATAAACAATAATTTGTTATTTCATGCAAAATTGATCATTCCCATGCACATAAAATCTAAGTCATTATCTGTCTGATTGATGCTTCATGAAAGTAGACACCGAAAGTGATATTTAAAAAAAAAAAAAATTTGTTAAAGTCAAATATTTCAGTAACTCCCAAATGGCCTCAAAGGCACAGGAATTTCATATAAGAAAGAGAAACTGTTTGGGTTATTTTTTTTCATTTATAACCTAATAAAGATACAGTTAGTTAGTGTCAATCTTATGTGATGTTTAGAAAAATCACTTAAAGACACAAACTAACTTATATTCTTCAACATTTTAGTTCTCAAATGAAAATGTGAAAAGTTACATTGATAAAGAGAAAACAAAGATAAATGTGTAAGTTGTAATGAGTGACCCGTTGCTAAATTTCTGATGTTCAAAATAATTCATAAACCGAGACCTTCTATAACATGAATCTAAAAAAAAACCCACATCTGTTTTAATGTCGCTGTGAAAAAAAATATTCTGTCTGAGTCTAGAAGTTGCCATTTATTTTTTATGTGGACAGTGCTTTATTCGTACAAAGACTTCTGAGTTCCTATCACTCTTAAAGGTAAAATCACGCCTAGACATTTAAGAGATTAAAAATATGGTGATTTTCCCCCCCTAAACATAAAGGAACTAAAAGAAAGCTTAGAGAGAAGAAAAAAGAAGTTAGCTTCCAAATCCTATGTTATCATTAATTCATTAATTGATTCATTCCACACTTATGCTAAGCATATCCAAACAAAGTGGCTACCTTCCAGGACCTTACAATCTGTTAGACCTATGACATTTAGGTCACTAATAACCCGATTTTAAAAATTTGTCTAAAGAAAGGTTTCATTCATAATGAATTATTCCGAAGACTATACTTATCAAGAAGGCCCATGCTTTCCACTTCTTCTTGGGGATGGGGGAGGGGTGGCGGGGGGGAGAAGCAAGCATCTTTATAAGGTAATAGTTTTTCTAATGTCTGTATTTATCATTAAAATAAAGTGCAGCTGTTTAGGGAAGCAAAGAATCTAATCTGGTCGTGGGAATGAGATTCTCTTAGGGCCACCCTTTCTCTAGCTTTGAAATCAAGTTTTCCTCCTCTTATTACCAAAAATTCTCTCATCTTACAACGCAGCACCCACGGAGACGAGGATAATTGTACAAGACCCCTGGCTGTGGCGTTGCTCCGAAAGCAACAGGTATCCTGGAATGATAAACAAGACCACAGTGGACCGCAGGTCACTTGCTCTCAACCTAGAGAGTTAATGCAGCCCAAGTCAAAAGGGCATTCTCGGTTCCAGCTCAGAAGGCGCTGTCAAACTCTAGGCGCTGGCGCTCACATCTTCCTCTCAGCGAACCCCAGAGCCTCCTTGGGGGACCCAGTCACCAGGAAGAACGACCTAGAAGCCGAGCGTTCAGGGGCACGGAAGGGTCTACAGGAGGTCGTCCTGAAAAAGCCACCAGGTCACGTGCGTGACACTCACCTGTTCATACTCTCCAGGCCTGGTAGAACCGCGATCCCCTGCAAGTTCGGAATGGGTCCCGCGGGAGCCGCGAAGCCCTCCCACGCTGCGCAGCCCAGGGTGCCGGGTGCGTTTCCGAGTTGCAGGGCTGCGATCGCCGGTAGGAGAGGTGGCGGCAGTGGCAGCAGCAGCAAGTGCGGGCGGACAGGCGGGGGGAGTCTTCTTGCTCGCGCTCGCTCCGTCTAGCGGCCGAGGGACTGCGGCAGGACGCGAGCTCAGCCCGGCCGAGGCCGCAGCTCTCGGCCGCCAGGATGCTGCAGTGCGGCGCTTTGGCGCCCCCTACTGGAGCCGGGGACTCGCTCCTCCCGCGATGCTGCCTCCCTGGGGAGCGTGGAATAGCCTCCTTCTCTGTGTGTGCGGAGTCAGGCTTCCCTTTTCCCTTGCTCACTTCCCGATCTCTAGGTTCTCAAGTGAGGACTTATTTTCTTAGTTAAAAGGTTGCACGTGAAAGCATCACTACGTGATGTTTTCTACTTCTGACTTCAAATGAGTCTCACCACATCCCTTTGAGGTATATTTAATTATCCCCATGATACCCAAGAGGAAAATGGATAGATAACTTGTCCAAGGCTAGTATCTTGTTGGAATGAAATCCAGGCCAGGCTGGAAGCTGAGAGATGCTAGGAGGGACATAAATACTGAGTTCCATTGAAATTTATAGTTATATATTTGATAAAGTTCCAAAAGGTTCACATTCTCCTTACAAGATCAGCATGTATATTTGAAGTCATACTCCATCATGCTCAAAACCTAACGAAGATGATTAACATTCATGCTGTGCTAGACCGGGCTTTCATCTCTCATCTCATTTTATAGGTATACCTACTCTTGAGGCAAGCACTAGTATTGTAGTTATTAGCCTTTCACAGATAAAGTGAGTTTCAGAGACATTAAGTGATTTCCCAAAGACTATCAAAGAAGCAGGAACACCTAGGCCATTTTTTTCCCTTAAGAATCTGGGCATTCTTACCAAGATACCAGGTGGCCTGCAGAAAACTACTGTAATATAGAGCAGTCAGGAGCCTAGGGCTACGTGCACAATCTGCAGTGTGTCCTTGATGGAAAAGATATAACCAGAGAGGCAGTTTCCAGGGTTAGCGCTGTTCTGGAAAGCCACTGCAACCACTAGTGGTGGGCCAGGCTGAATGCAGTAACTGGATGTGTGGCAGGTGCTGGAACTGCACACCTCTAGCTGTGCAAGAGGTGTCCCGTTCATTCTTTGAGGAAGCTCACATTTTATCCTGTATGACTTTCCTGATCACAGTGCTATCTCCCTACCCCCCAAAACACTTCTGGATCAGATGACCTGATTCTATGTCTCATAGCACTCTTATCTATTATTGTATTTGCATTGTACTCATTTTTATTTCTCAGGCTTCTCCATTACCTGAACTTTCTGAATGTAGGGATATATAGTATGTATCTCTGTATTTCCAGCCTC